AACCCATGGCCTTCTTGTAAGAGTAACTAGGCATTGATGAGAATACTCAGGTGAGAAGAGCTACATGGAGGGGACCTGACCCAAGTGCTTCTGAGTCCCTTTTTCATTGACACTTTCTACAATTCCTTATCTGTACCCCACCATATACCAAAACAAAAACAAAAACAAAAACTAAGGGTTGAGTGGCAGTCATTTGGCAAATCCCCCTAAGCAGTATTGACATTCTTTAGGCACTCTTTCCAAGCCTGTCTTGTTATTCCTTCTTTCTTCAATCACCTTTTTATCCCAGCCATTGCTTCCTTTCTCCTTCATGTGTTTTCCGTCTGACTGCCTTTTGACTTCTCCATAGTGCTAATAGGGTTCTAAAACACTTAACAAATGTTCTAAGAAGGGGGAAAGATGAGGACTTAAGATAAAGGAATGCACCATTGAATCCTCTCCACCTCCTCCACTTCAAATGACCTTAAGAAGACACAACAAATCTTCCTCCAGACCTCAGAGAAAAGAAAAGAGTAAGCACCCAACTCAGCACTGTCCACCAGCAAAAGGATCATCTTGTTCCTAGAAGGGGCATGCTGAGAAGGGCTTTTCATTCCCATTGAAGAAACAGAAACCACTTCTCTGTGCCCAGAGATCATGAGGGTGCTGCTTGTACCTTCTCATCCTGGTTCCCCCTTCACATGTATCCAAATGGAGAAATGTAGCTGTATTAGTACAAGTGTGAGCCACTGTTGCCTGGAGTGTGTTGATTTCAGTGTAGGAGACTTTCTCTTCCAATAATGATAGAGTTAGTAGCTTCTGCTCTGTTTTTAGGAACTCTATCTTCTACTTTGCAGTGAACATAGAGTATGTTACAGTGAGCCCCACCAGCTCCCCAGCTCAAAAGTCATTTATAATTTGTCTATTTGATCCTCTTTCCCTCTAGTTTCTCAAAAGATGAGGTGGCACCACTTTTGATAATGTCACCCCTCTATTTATACCCCCTGATCTTGTCTCCTATCTCCTTTAGGACTTTTCTCATCTCATTCTCTTGTCTTCAGACCTTTTCTCTCTATTGGGTTCTTCTCCTGGCCTTGATCAGGTCCCTGTTATACTAAATCAAACAAACAAAATATTCCCACTATCCCTTTTACTTACCACATCAATCTAGTAGTCTATCTTTTCTCTCCTTGATTACTAAACCTCTAGAAAAAATGATCTAATTTTTTTCTTTATTTCCTGTCCACACATACACACACTCTTTTGTAATCCAGCTTCTGGTCCTATCTCTCTACTGAAATTGCTCTCTTCAAGGTCACTAATGACCTCTTAATGCCAACTCAATGGCCTTTCTTCAGTTCTCATCCTTGACCAATGTGCAGCATTGACTTATTTGTTCAGCTCCTCCCTCTTAATACTCTCAACTTTATTGGATTCCACGACTCTGCAATGTTGTGGTCCTCTTGCTTCTTTTTCACAGAATCCCAGAATTTCAGAGTTGGAAGAGACATAATTTTATTTCTCTTTTTCTTTTTTTCCTTCTACACCAGGCTTTCTATCTTTCTGTACTCTCTCCCTCTCCCTCTCTCTCTCCCTCTCCTTCTTTCTTTGTCTTTGTTTCTATGTCTCTCTCCCCTCCTCTCCCTCTATCCTTTCTACTCCCTCTCTCTTTGCCTTTTTCTCTCTTGCATGTCCCCCTGTCCCCACGCCCTCTTTGCAATTTTATCTGTCTCCATGACTTTAATTATCATCTCTATAAAAATGACTACAGATCTATTTATCCAGTGTTGACCTCTTCCCAGAGCTCCAGTCCCGTTTTTCCAATGACATCTTAAATATTTTTCCCTAGATTCTTTTCAGCAAACTCTAACCACTTAAAACAGCTCCTCATCTTCCCTATTAAACCTTTCTTAAACAGATTAGTCTGCTGTACAAAATTACAATTTTATTTTTAAAATATTCATTAAATAGGTACTATGTGAAAATCATTGTCTTTGACTCTGGGGCTACCAAGACAAAAAAAAAAAAAAACTAAACAGTTGTCATCCTCAAGGAGCTCACATTCTATGAGAAGAATCCAAAATGTACCGTATTCAGATAAGTAAGTATAACAAGGTGGGGAACATTCATATCGGGAAACATCAGAAACCCTTCATGTAGGAGGTACCACTTAAGCTATTTTTTTCTTTTGTTTTCTTGAGGAAAGTTTTAGATTCCAGAAAGCAGAGGCAAGGAGGGAGTGATGAATGGGAGTTCACCTCTGCCAAGACACATAAACAGAGTATGGATTGTCATATAGGGGAAGTGGCTAGCAGTCTAGTTTAACTAGGCAGAAGGGGCACAGTATAAAAGACTGGAAAGTCAGGTGGGAGCCAGTTTGAAAAGGGCCTCAAATGTTGGCCTGATAATTTTATATTTTATTCTAAAAACAGAGGGGAGCCACCAAAGATTTATAACTAGGGAAGTGACATGGCCAGATCTGTGCCTTAGGCATATCAATTTGACAATTGTTTGGAGACAGGCAGATCTCATGAAATCTCAGGTCTCTTGACTCCCAGATCAGATCTCACTCCTCTCCTCTCCCCACTGGAATAGTATGATCTCAGTGAGTTTATTTGATTAGATTAGTCCTCTTTGGCACTAAACAGAACAAGGAGCAGTAGGAAATTAAAAAAGAAAAATTTCCTATTCAAAATTGGAATGGATTACCTCAAGAGGTATTGGAGATCATTTTAGAGATCTCTGAGCAGAGGCAGCTGGGTAGGTGCTTGTCATATCTATCTATCTATCATAGCAAAGATTACTTTTGAGTAGGGGTTGGACTAGGTGTCTATTAATGACACCTATGAAATTCTATGAGTCTATGATTCTCCCTTGGGTTCAGGAGGGTAAAGTAGATTGCAATAAAGGCAAAAAGGTAACAACTCCACATTCTTTCTCATATCTGTAAAATAACTGGAATACAGAGACTGTAATCCTGGGCAGACAAAATGAACCAGTACTGCATTGGTCTATAGTCCCTTCTCCCCTTTTCCCCTCTGAGAAGTCAATGAGAGAGGGGGCTTGTTGGGAAACATGAAGTGGTCACCCCAGTGGTGGATTCAGGGGTGTAACTGAACTGACTTTCTAGAAACTTTCTGACTATTCTACCTTTTGAGAGAGAAAAAAATCCCAGTTGTGAGGGCCCATGGGGTCACAGATTCACATATTACTGATTCCTGGGTTCAAAGGGGAGAATTGATCTCAAGCAACATTTGTCAGTGGTAATGATGAAGCTGAAAGGTGATGTAGAATTCAGGACTTAGTTTCAGGAAGAGCTGGGCTTAAATCCTGACTTAGACAAATTACTAGCTTTGTAACTCTGGGTAAATCACTTAACCTCTCCGAGGCTTCATTTTTTTTCATCTTTAAGTGATGATGACAATAGTATCTACCTTCCTGGGTTATTATGAGGATCAAATGAAAAGTCTATATAAGGTGCATTGGAAACTTTTAAAGTACTCAAAAATGTGATTGACGGTGTTGATCATGGAATCATAAATTTAGAGTAGGAGGAGACTTTGAAGATGAATGATTACACAAGACTATTGCATCTGAGGTCAAAAGGCATGGGTTCATATCCTGCTGCTGTCAGTTAATACCAGTGTAACCTTACCTAAGTTGGACTTGTTATTGTTTAAAGGACCTTCCAATTCCAAATCTATAATCCTATGATGTTATGATTGTTTTCTATGGTTCTTCTCTGGCCAATGAAAAGTTTCTATGGATTGCCATTTAGAATTGCTTTGGGGCCATCTTTTTCTGAGTCTAACCCCATCTTTCAGGAGTGTCTTATCCAAACACTGGCTATCTTCCTTGGGATGGTAGACTAGGAGTCTTACTGGGTTGCCTCTCATATAACTCATCTATAATACAAGTTTTTGTTGTTTGTTCTGTTTTGTTTTGTTTTGTTTTTAGTGGCTAGCAATGCAGCTTACTGGAGAGAACACTAGATTTAGAGTTGGGGGACATGCATTTGAATCCTGGCTCTGGTTTTAATGGTCTAGGTGTCTTGGGTAAATCATTTGGTGCCTCCTTTCCCTCCTCTATAAACTTATTGGGTTTGGCCAACTGATCTTGAAGGTGTCTTTCAGGTCTAAATCCTATGATTCTATGACTGTTTTCAAGCAAAAGAGACCATTTATCAACTAGGATATAATCTATACCAAACAAAATTATTTGCTTCTAGAAACTGGGTGTCTTCTTTGCCAAATGTACTCTAAATCTGCAAATTGGAGTGGTTTCAGAAATGTTAATTCCCAAAGAGGAAAGAGAGGGAACTTCTGAGATTCTCTGGACCCACAAAAGAAAGTTTCCCATAATTGAGGGATGCAGATTTGGCCTTAGATTCATGCTTATAGAATAGGAAGCAGGTTCAACCATCAACTGAGCAGTTAATAAAATCTATTGCCCTATGATGGATTTTTTTTTCCTGCAGCCTAGAATTGATCTGTCCTCTTTGTGATTTGTGAGACAGGAGGAAAACACAAAATATAATCACTACTTCAGCAGCACCCAAGGAAAAAAAAAAAACAAACAAACCAAATAAACCACCTCCACTGTGCAGTTTTCCCTGGCTTAGAAATAACCAAAACTGCAGGGGTCATTTTTCTGATTTATTGAAAATAAAGTAGACCTTATTAACATTTTAATAAAGAGGCTCTTTTGCACTGGGATCTAAGTTGCTGCTATTCCCCTGTGCAATTCCATTCTCTGAAAAGGAGAGAAGACTATTGAGTTCCATAAGCATGATTTGTTATGTCTGAAACTAAACACTCTAAAGGCAAATGCTTTATTTTGCAAGGATTGTGTTTGTGAGAGGTGCCCACCCGATATCTGCGATGCAAAATGAGGAAGCCTTATGAAGAAATCATCCTTGTAAAGCCATTGGTTCTGGTCATCAGCCTCTATCCAATGCTTTCGTGATGATGCTGCTGATCTATTTGGGAAGTTGGCTGGCTCTCAAAGCAGAGTCTCTTCTCAAAGGCTGTTTCACAGCGAAAATATGCTCAGTGCAGCCGGGCGCATGAATGAAAGAGCCGCCGTTTGCTTCTAGTCTGGCAAAATGCAGCAGAGAACTCAGCTCACTTTGTCCTTTTTGCTGTCCCAGGTAAGGCAGACCATGGTTAGCTCTGGAGTCCTGATATCCATTCTCTCTCTTCCCCATCTGTATTTTTTTTTTATCTAGAAGTGCTTGCAGTGCAGGTAGTCTTGCTCAGCGTCTGTGGGGTTCTGAAATACAGTGAGAGCCTGGAATGGGGGAGTGGTGGCTTTCCAGGGTATACACCACTGGATTGTTATAAATTGTTATTTGGAGTGTGAGTGTGTGTGTGTGTATGTGTTGGGGTGACCAGAGAAGGGGACGATGGGCAAGGGAAGTCTGGAGTACCTTGAGAGCTGCCTTGCTATTCTTTGATGTGCCCAAGTGGTGCAACTTTGATTTGATTTGGTGGATCTTAGGCTGGGTTAAAAAAGGACTTGGTTTTTCTCCACGTCTAGCTTCTTAAAGAAGCAGGGGCTAATTGGAGCCCTCTCTCACATGCCTTTGTCAGTGGGTTCAGGAGCTTTCTTATTCTTTCCCCAGGTAGGAAGTGGGGAGGAGTCTTTCCAGAATTACTGACTTGCTTGGGGGGTGTCTGTACCCATGTTAGCTTATTCTAGATTCCCTTTTGCTGGAAAACTGGAAAATGCACCCAGACCCAGGATCCTGCTGCTGCTGTTTCTGCTGTTGCTGTCAGTCAGGAGGGAAGAGGGCTGGGAGCTTCTCTGGGCTCCCCTTGCCCCCTCCCTGGTGGTGGTCTTCTTGTGGCTGATGGTCTCCAGCCCGGGAGGTTCCTTTGGAGGGAGCCCTTAGGTCGGCTACACCCCGCCTATGCTGCCGGAAAGCTAACCCTCTTGTGCCTTCCATATCCTTCCCATTTGAAAACTCTGGATGGAAGAACCCAAGCCCGGCAATTTGGGCACTGAGTGTTGGAAAAGTTAATACCTCCCCTCCCTCCCCACCCCAAGGCCTCAGCTGTTCTGTTAACCCTTAGAGCACTGGGACTATTGAGAGAAGCTAGGTGGGAGGCTTTACCAGGATTTACTGGTGCCAGTATAATCTCAGAAATCACTTTCTGTAGCTTTTCAAAATATGGAGTAGGGACCTTGTGAAGTTATGCTATGATAGCAGTACTTCTGAATCCAAGGGCGTGATGGTTGGTTGGCAAGCTGAATTGGAGCAGACAGAGGGAGCCAGGATTAGAATGGACAGGAGAAACCCTCTACTTAGGGCTGGAGGGCACATGGTTAGCCACGTCTGCCTAGGGTCACAGCCAATGGGAGATACAAGTTGAGTGGCAGTGGACAGGTGATTACTGAGGCCTAGGATGTTGGCCAGGATAGTAAGGAATCTCCTGTTTGTCTGCATTCATACATGCCAGTAGGAGGACCTGGCAGGGGCAGGGTGCTGAGCGAGTTAGGAGGTGGGAGGGGATAAGTGAGAATGTATCCTGAGGAGCTGAAAAATCAGAGGCTGGGGGAGCCAAGCTTCTGGCCCTGACTCTAATTGACCAACTGGGATTGCTAGTGTGTTCAGGAAAGCTGGGGAAGACAATAAAGCTGTCAAAGGTAACTGAACCTGGAGGGCTGGAATAGAATCAGCACCTCTTGAGCAAGGCTGTCTTGCTCTGTTGATGCAGGCAAGTGGGGAAAGAGCCAGGAGTCCAGGTGCTGAATTCGCCTTATGAATGGTTTGGTGCCTTAGCCTTTTGGTGGCTGTGTTCCCATTACCTGGAATGGGACTGGGAGCCCATTGGCTCAGAGCCTTATTCAATACTTACCTATGGCCAGTTGGGCTTAAGTTCTACCGAGGCAGCTGATCACCTATGAAGCTAGGGCTACTGGAAGCTGACTGGCTCCAGACATCTGTTGTTCCTAGAAGCCTGGTGGAGCTGAACCTGGAGCCTCAGGCTTCCATAACCTGGTACTTGCCCCAGGTATGGCTGGGCCTAGTTGAGGCCCCAAGACTTGGTCTCAAATGATGCTCCCTCCCTTCATTCAGTGTTGGTCATTCCCACTAGTGAGTAGTTTAAAATATCACTGCTGAATTCCTTGATTCAGGTCCTGTCAAAAGTTTTACCTCTCTAGAAATGGTAAAAGCCAGATGACAGAGGAGCACATCAGCAGGGTCCCTGGGAACAGCCTGACAGGCCAATAGCTTCACAGATGACAGCTCGAAGAGTAGCTGGGAGTGAGGATGTTTAAAAGGGATACCTTCAATATTCCAGAGCCCTGGGCTTGATGGGGGTGTCCATTTCCCTTTTTTATTGTGATGCATTTGTGATGCCATGGTACTCTGATGTAGCTCCCTTGCAATAAAACTTATTTATTTATTTATTCATTTGGGAACTCAAATGCCAAAGGGTTAAAATAGAGAGCCTGAATGTGTCAGAGGGAAGGGAGTGGTAACTTTTGCATCCAAAATGTGCCATCTGACTCAACAAGCGAAAACTTTCCTCAAGCAGAGAAAGAAAAAAAAATAGTGTGCTTGCACACACACACACACACACACACACACACACAGGCAAAGGAAAAACAATGTAATAAAGAAAATGAGTCACTTGGCCTTGGTGGGGCTCAAGCGAGCGTGTGTGTTTTTTCCATAGCAGTTGCAATGGTCCTTTCATAATCCCCCGGTGCCCGCCTTTGGAAGCAATCAATCTCCGTGAGCTCATTGGCCATGGTGGTGTGCACAAGATTGTATTATGCTTGTTGGGAGGTGGAAGATGAATGTAATTCAGGGCAACAATGACTGGAAGTCAGCACAAGGAGGAAACAGTCACCTCTGGGCTACACTGGAGTGTTTGGGGAGGGGGAAAGCATTCAGGTGGAAGCACGGATTTTGTTAGATAAGGAGGAACAAACATGAAAATTATCAAGATGGGCATGTAGTACAAAGTCTCTAGTAAATAGTGGGTTATTTTCTTTTTTATTGTTGCCATGTGTAAAATCACTAAAACTAACAAAAAGTTTGGACCATTAGTGAGTAATCTCTCAGGAATTAGGCTTTCAGGGAGTGGCTACAGGTTCTGGGGAATAGTCACTTGGGAACTGTTTGAAACATTCCAGTAGGTTCTGAGGTTTGCATTTAAAGCAGGGATTCTCTTCCAGCCTGAATTTTGATTTTCTAGCAAAAAAAGATTATAGTGACTGTTTGAATATGACAGCCCACAGAAACCCTTGTCAGGGAGCAGGACACTAACCAGGGAGGGCCAGTTTAGAATGGCAGACCCACCTAAAAGCTGAAATTCCTGGATCTCTGCCTTTGTATGAAACACATACATGTAACAAGGGTCTGGAAGACTTTAGCGCACTGCCTGCCCAGGGGATCTAATGTGTGCTCTCTGTCATTTGTGATCTCATACATTAAATTATCTTGTGCAAAAGACATTGCTTACTCTCTCTCTCTCTCTCTGTCTCTCTGTCTCTCTGTCTCTGTCTCTGTCTCTTTTTTCTCCCTCTATCTCTTTCCTTTTATCTATCTCTCTGTCACGCACATGCACACACGCGCACGCGCACACACACACACACATACACGAGCACACTTGTATGCACCCACACATACACATACATTCACTTACTCCTCAGCCATCAAGAGTTCTGAAAAGGAAGGTCTAAGTGGCTTATGTATGTCACAGAGTATCATGCAGAGAAACTTCATAGGACCGATGTGCTCAGCAAGTAATTTCCCTGAAAAAGCCAGAGGGAAACTCTGAAAATCATGGCAATTATTCTGAAGTTTATCACCTGCGGGAGTGCTTGGCTCTGTTCAAGAGAATACCGATGATTTTTAAGGAAAATCAAATTCCTTTGTGAGTTCAATTAATAGCCTAGTTAGTGAAAGATAAGGGAGAATGCATATCATGGAGAATCAATTCCTGTTTGATTTACTCCAGTGACACCTGGATTACCAAGTTATTCTGTTTTGGAAAAAAAAAAGGCAGCAAACCATGAAAACCTCATTATATTACCTGTTGAAAAGTTTCTCCAGAAGAGGGCTCCATTCACAGCATAAACACCAATGTTCCATCAGAAACTGGGTTTTGAAAGGACTTAGGTTTAAGCAACTCCACAATAATCAGAGTGATTGTTCATAGCAGCTCCAGAAAAAAAGTTGAAGAAAGAGACTGAGCTCAATAAATTCCTGAGGCCAGGGAGATCTCTGATCTTCCTCACACAATACACTTCATTCCTTACTTCGGTCTTGACCTAAAAGAGACACAGCTGAAAACGTAAGAGAGCAGAAAAATAAATCGCACCAGATGTCCCCAAAGCCAGGAACACCTTTTGCCCCCGTGATAGGAAAGAATCCTGCTCATTATGCAGCCACATACTATATTGAGTCATTAGCTATGTCCATACAACTATAATAGTATCCAGTAAGGAAGTGGAAAAAAAAGGTCGATAATTCAGTTATTTTTGTCTGCATGGTGCCCAAAGCAAGACAAAAAATAATAGCCCATTTTGCCAGAGTGGAGATTTTTGTCTTTCTTTCATAGAGTTGAAAGAGAAAGGGTTAGAAATGACATTGTATTTGGAGTCAGATGACTTAGGTTTTGCATTTGCACAGGTGTGAACTGGGACAAATCTTTTCCCTTCTCTGGGCCTCATTTTCCTCATCTGTAAAAATGAGGGTGTTCGCCTGTAAGGTCAGTTCAACCATTGAATTATGATCCTACAATTGATTTTCCACAGAAGTGAATGAATTTAATTAGTCTTTTTTGCACTGTTTAAATTTTCCTATGGGGGGCAATGTCTAGGTATGCCAGTTAGAGATGGATAAGAAGTCTCTGTCAATGCAACTAATCATAGCCTATCTACACCACATTCATCTAGAACTGGCTCAACAAGTTATAGATAGTGTGACTGACCCAAGCTTTAGGCCACCTGGGATTTCATCACATCACAACTTCATTCAAAGTATTTCTAAGACCCCCTTCCTTTCTTTACATCATCTTCACACTATGCTTCTGGGCTCTAGCCTCCACCTCCAACCCAACATTCTAGATTTGCCTTGGGTCCTGAGGCATCTTATTGCCATACTTTCAATGATTTCTCCTCCAACCTAGA